AAATACTTTCCCGATACATATATACATATAATAAAAAAATCGGGGTATTTTACTTAATAATTTACTGAGTAAATAATTTACTAACCAGTTGTAAATTTCCTCCTGACAAAAATCATGTGAGAGAGTTGAGCCAGGGTATTAATAGCAAAACAATTCTTAGAGTATATAAATATATATATACTCCAAGCATGTCTTTGTTATACAACAACCCAAACAATTTGTTAAAGTATTTGAAAATAATGTATGCGCTTTTTATTAGCTTTATTAATTTATAGTCTGTGCTGGTTTGATCGATAAACAATTTTTATTCAAGTCAATACAGTCAATATTATTTATTATCCGACAAACTAATATGACCACGAAAAACTTTCTGTTATTTTTTTTCATGTGCTACGATGTAATTATGTTTTTCCAATATTCAAAATAAAAAACTCAGCGAGTGACTCCCTACCAATCATGATCATAAATTTGTGAATACGGAAATTATTTTATTTTTGCCCAATAATGGATATTTTATTGAATTATTTGCCATGTATCTATTATTAATTTCTTATTCATGTTGATTTTATGATTCTTATAATTTGGTTTTATGAAAATTTATATCTAAAATATTGATTATAAATTTTAATCTTATCTGGACTCAAAGTTGTATAGTGTACTATAAATTATAATAAAGCTCACAATAATTTTATGCTGACTTATTAGGACCGATAGCCCAGACCAGACTGGCTCGGTCCCAATACTGATTAACAGACCTAATTGCGTACATGATTTAAATTTAATATGTCAGATCAAATATCGCGAAATCGCAACTCAAATAGATTCAATCTGCATGATAGGCAAAAAAAAAGTTAAACTTAGGCTACAATATGTGTAAAGTAGTCCTAATTGTCATACGCTAAAATGAATGCTTGTTGAATAAAGTAAAAGTCTAATTGTCATACGCTAAAATGAATGCTTGTTGAATAAAGTAAAAGTCCAGTTGGATGGGATCATTAAGATTTAGAGGGATTTGGGTGGGAGGCTTTAAATCATGATAAAGACTGCGTAATGATATGTTAATGATGCATTGACCTTGCAAAATATTTAACGGAGCTCCTGTACCGTCTTGTGTACCAAATTCAAACTAATAATTATTTATACATATATTATACATACATTAGAGATGTTAATATGTAAATAAAAAAACAAATTACTGTAGTCTAACATTACCGAAGTTCTGTATGGAATTGTATTTCTTGTCCTTCGATCTTCTTTACAATAATGCCAAGCCTACAATAAATTAAAATCTTCAGAATATTATATAAATAAGATGATGATTGCACTGCATAAATATAGCCTACCCTCATTCGAGCTGGCATTTGGCCTTCGGGGACAGGGTCGATTTTTACAATAATGCAATCGTGGGCGTGATCAGGATCTAACCAATATTTTAATGTTTCCTCAACATGACCCAATGTTTCAAAATAGGCTACTTCCACGACCAAATTTGGCCACGGTTCACTCTAAATTAAATTAAAAAGGTATATGAAATTACCAGCTTTAAAAAGTTCAAGCCAAAAAAAAAAAAAAAAAAAAAAAAAAAAAAAAAAAACAGAAATTACGATTCCATCAGACCCATCTGGTGCAGTTACAGCTGGTTTTCTCGGTCGAAATGAAGCATCAGCTTCTTTTCTACGGTTTTCATCACGTGTTCCTTTAACAAATAAAAATTAATATAATAACGCACAAACTGAGCAATATATTATAACATTAACACTTACTAGTAGCACCGAAACCTAAAATCTCAGCTGGCGTATTGTCAGCATTTCTACAAGCACCCGTTATTACTTTAACAACCTTAGCGAGACAAACTTCGTGCGGCTTGGAAGGAAATTCGTAGATTATTACTTCACTATTCGACCATTCCCAGCATCCACGGATGTTAAATTTTTCTACACGTTCTTCATAATCCTCTGGGGTGACACCCGTAGCAAGTACATGCGGCAGGCTTAATGTAAATAATTTATATCAGCAACTGGCTTAAAAAGATACAAACATCAACCTGCAAAACTTACGTTACTTCATCCCATCTTGCTTGTTCATTAAACTCTCCCTTATTCCACCACAGGTTTCTATAATAGTTGCAGTCTGGAATTCTTTTTGGACTTTCTGGAACTGCATCAGTATTGTTCCTAAGAATATTTCTGGAAATTTAGCGAAAAAAAATAAGGAGTAACAATTGCACATATTTACTTACGTAGTGGTAATAGAACTTGCGCTTGTACTTGACCTTGTCCTTGACCTTGTTGAGCTAAAGCTACTGAAACTGACATTTTCATCACCAGTATAAATTGACATTTTGGTGGTTTGAGAAAATGGTTTACGATTAACGATTACAGTCAATTATTATCACCCGTGACCAAACCAATAAAAAAATAGTACGTATATAAAATGGACGTTAACCCACTTGAAGCCTAGCTCAATTCGTAATTTTCTCCCACGAACACAGCATAGGCAATGCCTGTATATACAGGTTAACTAACGCTACCTTTACTATGACGATATGGCACTTGCGATTTATTTTTTCTACTTATTTCTTTATTTCGTGTATTACAGTATTATTAGAGAGAAAGAGACGTTTTGCTTACTAATTTCTTTATCATATTATCCCAAATTTCTACTTACATGAAAGTTTACCGATCTACCCAATCTGAATTTGTGACACCACAAGATTCGTACTGTATTTAATTCGTGCCTTTAACCTTCATGATAATCACAATGTAAGGTATATCCAATCTCTACTTTCTCTAAGAATTAATTCAAATTTATAAGGTAATCTTGTAATATCATAAGTTGATGATTTTGATCAATTCAAGAAGAAATCTCTGCATTAACAATAGATTATGGGCCGATAAATCTGATCTATTTTACGGGCAGATATATAGTTGAAGAGATCCATCAGGGACCATAAACTTTATTATAATATCTTTCATAAGTCCAATCCAAGAATTTTTGCCTATAAGGTTTAACTTTCGTTATTAAGTTCTTTCCTAAGATATCGAATTAAAAGAATACAGTTATTTAGGTGGTCTTTAGTCCATTTAGTGGTGCCAGAAGGCAGATCTCAGTTTGTGAATTTTCCTATTGAATAATTTTAGATTCTTTTAATTGTAATTACTAATGCATTTCTTGAACCGAAGGAAAATTATTTGAATCATATGAACGTTCTACAAGGATATTTATGCAAAATGTTTGTAAGATCTTAAACGATTAATTAATTTGAAACTGGTAAGATAGTGTAACCCGAAAATTTTCATCTATTGAATTTAACGTATCTGAGCCGCAATTCAACGATCATTTATGAATGCAGATTTTTTTTTTGTCCGTGCGTTCCATGAATCCGTAGTCTCGTATATGCATTTATCCGGCAGGTACTATGTAAACACTGACGGAAAAAATTTTACATTATTTCCGCAATTTTATATTAAAATCATGTGACAAATTCTTATTAATTTTAATATAAAATCTGCGGAATTAATATAAAATTATTTCCGTAAGTTTATACGTCATACTTGCCAGATAAACTAGTTATTTGGCATGATATACGAATCATGGACATCGACAGTATAATTGCAACGCACGAAACCTTCGGCCACGTGCTTTTGCTATTATCTTGCCAATACCCATGTATCCGTCAAAACATGCCAGATAACAAGAAAATATCCTACATATAATTAATTGTTATATGCAGGTATATGCATATATGAGGCTCACAGATTCATGGGATGGACAAAAAAAAATCTGCAAAATTCATCAATACAACTAAATCGAAAAGAGTGATAACTCGATTAATCAAATTAATTTGATTATAAGTGTGATTTGTTTTGTCTCTCATTTCTGGTATCATACTATGTAAATACATTTGGGTGTTCACTTCTGCTAATAGAGCAACTTTTTAGTATCATTTACATTTTCTATTTTTTCTTTTGACTGTCGTCCCGACAGGTCATAAAATGCAATAGAAATTGGTACAAATGACTGTCGTCCCAACAAGTCAGAACCATAGAATGCATTAGAATTTATACAAATGACTGTCGTCCCGAGAGGCCATATGCTTAGAATAATTACATCAACCCTAGCCCTCACATGACTGTCATCCCGACAGGCCACTCCGGAAAAAACTTACTGGGTAGGGTCGGAGTAGTGATGTGCCGCCTACAGTACTATACGTACATGAAGATTGGCACTTTTCATTGTATCCTTTTCACTTAAGTCAAATGTTTTTTATTCATTTCTTAACCTTATACTTTCACTAAGACTTTCGTTTTTTTTTATCCTTCAATAATTCGTTTCACTAAGCATTTTTACAAAGATTTTTCTTTTTTGATGTTTGATAATTATCCATGTAGTTCAACGTTTGATGAGAGTATTGTATTCTACCCAGGTTCTTATGTCACAGGTTATTCTGGTACTACTGTGTACTTGCGGTCTTTACTATAAGTCTTTACTTGCTTGGCTAGTATATTCGAAGACCATGTATCATACAGGATGCTCACAAAGGTAATAGTTTATTCACTAAGAATAAACTTATTACTTAGGCTTTCCCAATTTGGATCAATACCTTATTTATTAATTACTAATTATTAATAATTACTACATTGTTCATGCAATCATATTACTACTAATTACTATATTGTTCATATAATCACTAATTAAACTTTTAATTAATTTTATACAAACTCAAATCACGCCATTTATGCAAACCCAGATTATGACCAATCATGATCTCTGACCCTTGCACTACGAATATCTGGGGCACCAACATCAACATAATATTAAGTTTAATAAAGATAAGAGCGTAGCTTACCTTTAACATTAAAAAAAAATATCTATTTCTTAATATGTAACTAATGCAATTAAATTTTTGTACTTTTTTAACTTTATTTTATTTTTTTAAAATACTAAAATATTTAAATAAAACTTTGTATAATTATATTGAAAATAAAGAATTCTTTTTACAAAGCTAGTTTTTATAATATAAAAAAAGTTAAATTGCTTATAAGTTAAAAATAGATAAATTAAAAAAAAATATTTAATCAAAAATTATTTGCAAGTTCTTAATAAACTCTTTAAATATTTAAGAGTAAAGAATTTTTATAAATAAAAATATATAAAATCCAAAAAAATTTTATAGTAAAATTTTTAATTCAAACCTTTAAACTTTTATTATATTAAAATTTTTTAATAATTTAAAATTATTTTTAATAAAGTTAATAAAAATTAATTTAAAATTAAATATTTACTTAAATAATAAATAACCATAACTTATTATTTATATACTAGATTATGTAATATTTATAGATTTTGCACTCTATCTTAGAACTTACTAACTATTT